AATTTTTTACCTCACCCCTCTCTAGGCACGTGTCATTCTGAGCAAGTTTCCTTCAGAGAACACTCAATAATTTTTTTCCAAGAATGTTAATTCCAGAGTTTCTTTTCTCTGTATGCTAGGAGAGTGTATTTGAGAAAAGGTGGTTGCTTTGGTTCTGGCTTGTGTGTGTTGCTGCCCTTTGAAGGCTAATTTTGGAGAGGTCATGGTGAATTTTTCACTTGGAAAGCACCCTGTGCTCCAGATGGAACAGGACATTTTGGAAGTGTGTGGAGAGAATGTGGGTCACTTTGTGGGACAGTTCAGGAAGGGGAAGTGAAATGTGTCATCAACAGAGTGTCAGGAAAAGCCTGGCTGGTCTGCAGCTCCATCGGGATGGCAATTTTTATGGGATCAGCTTGTGCAGCATCAGTGTGCTGTGGTGCTGAGCTCGTGTGTGTGAGGGCAAACAGCATGAGGCTTTAGAGGAGAGAAAGAATTCAGCAACTCATGACTTGACTCAGTTAACATCGAGTGTGGATTCTCACGGACACAAAATTAGTTGAGATGGTTTGAAAAGACTGATCTTCAAAACACCAGAGTATTCTTTTAATACTGACTGACAAATTAGCAGGTTTTGCTGTGCATCCTGTGTGCTGGTTTATTTTGAAAGGTGATTCAAGTGACCTTTCCAGAGGTATCCATGTTTTGCAGTCTCTGGAAGCTGCAGCTGTCGCAAACAGTTTCACTGGCTCAGGGTAGGTAGCTAAGGCAGCACTTCTGGGGGTGTGTGTTGTAGGGGCTGGTGGAACTAGGAATTCCTGACAAAGTTATTACTTGTTTTTCAGTAGACTTGTCTCTCTGCACTCGTACAGTCCCAGTGCACAAGTGCAGGGGATTTGCCCTATTGAAGCTTCTAATTTAGGAGTCAATGCAGTTACAGTGGAGGTGCAGCCACTGGAGGGGAATGTTGTAGGTGTGTTGGATTTTTATTTAAGCCAATCTCAAGTGAAGCTTCGGTCAAGCCAGGAATTAACTGTTCTTTCTTAATTAGTTAATCACCCTGATTGATTTGTGCTAGTTAATAGCACTGCCCCTTGCTCACATTTTAAGCATATACTTGTATGTTCATAATATTTTAGAAGACATTTTTCTCAGATGAGCCTCATTAGGCTTTATCAGGCTCTGTTGGTGTGTGTGGCTGGTGAGTGAGGCAAGGAGCTCAGTGCTCTGCCTTATAACTTAAATTAGGCACGTCTGTAGGTGCAGACACTGTCACAGCTCGCAAGCCTGGTTGTGTAGATAGGCATCTTGATTGATGCTTATTCCCTGATAATTAAGTTAAACAACATCAGGAACTGACTGCCAAGCATATCTAGCTCTTTTCAGGTGCACGAGTGGCTGGTGCCTTTTTCCCTGCCACTGTCTCTGCTTTGTCTCCTCCTCTGGTTCCTGATGAAGCTCTTGCACTTCATTCCTAGCATTGACGTGTTGGATACTTCTGCGCCCTTTCTCAGGACAGTCACATACAACATGCTGTAACCTTTTGGTTTCTCTCCATTTGCTATCTCACTAAATATAAAAAGTTGAAGGTTAATTGGCTGAACATAGATTTCTTGGTGTATGTTGTTCATAGACCTGGTTACTATTTGTTGTCAGTTTGATAGCGCTCAGTTCTCTGGGGATTTTGAAGTGCAAATTTGCTAGCAGAGGGAGGAAGAAATTTAAAAGTATTTACTTGGGGAGATCAGGAGCTGTAGACAATAGGGGGTTTTCCTGGTTTTCATTTTCTTAATTACAAGTCTGTTTTTTTTCCTTTTAAACTTGAGCTGAGCAGTTAGCAGTGGGAAGTCATGGGAGGAAGGGATCTGTGAGTAACCAAACTTTTAAGAATAAGGTTCTGTGCTACATAAACTTCTTATCCTTCTGGAAGTAATTTTTCAGACTTAAATACAGTACTTTATGTTTTTAATCACTCCTTAGCTATTAGCTAATTAAATGCTTCAGTAGTACTCCTCTGGGGAAGGTAAGATGGTGTCATTCCTGTTCTGCAGATGAGTTGCGCTACTGAAAGTGGCTTGGCCAAGGTCAGACCATGAGCAGCTGCAGATCTGAGAGCAGGACTTGGGCTGGTGACTCCCACTGCCATCCTTAATTTATTTCAACATGTCATCTCCATGTGTCTTTTCTTAATGACTTGATAAATAGTTTTTACAAAGTAATTTTAATATAATTGGGTTGAAATTCCCACTTTGATTTGCTTGAGGGAGGAGAAGTGTGACTGCAATGACCTGATCTGGTACAACTCACAGTGCAAATAGCAGAGGAGGCTCTTCCAACCAAAGTATTGGTGCTGAAAAGAAAATTTTTAAAAGATTTTGTTTCAATATGACACAATAGCTCTTGCCCTCACAACAGTGTACTTTGTAATGCTGTAAGCCTCTGGTATTCTGGGTCCAAGTTTTCATCTCCTCTGCCAAGATCTGTTGACCACTCTTTTTATTTAAATGACCTTGTCAGGTCCCAAAAAGTTAGTTTTGAAACTGTTCCTGTAATGTAAGTCTGCAGGTTGTTCTCCAGGATGTGTCAGGTGACTGGGGTGTATGTTCAAATATGGGGAAAAACAGGGCAGTATTTTGCTGGGAAAAAGAGTTTCTTGCATGAAGTTTGGCAGGCTTTGGACACGGGTGGTTGCTGGAACTGGAGTCGTTGTGTGCCTGGTACGTGGTAGCTCCAGCAAACTGATCCATGGTAACAAATCCTCTGCTTTGAGATCCCCTAGTGTTTATGAGAGAGTTATGTGACAAATGTGCAAGAATTGACAGTTGGAAAGACTAGGATGTGTTTAGATGGGACTCTTCCATCTGGGGTGAGACTTAATCTGTAGTCATTGAACTCCTAAAATATTCCAGGATTCGTTTGTGAAATTTGTATTTCAGTCACTCAGGGTAGGAATCGCGTTAGGGTTGGGGGAGGTTATTGAAAACATCTTTGTTCTCGCCTGTGGTAACCTAATTAATGTGTTTTTTTGGCATTGAAAGCTGTTCTTTAAGGAAATAATTGCTGTTCTTTGGGTGATTTTTGACTTCATGTCAATGAAAAAGGTAATTGTGCAGCACTTAATTTGACTAATTTAAAGCGAGGATCTCATTAAAATGCTGTGTCCACCAGAAGTTTGGGGTGGGAACTTCCATGCATGTGTGTTTTTCCCTAATTGTGTTCACTTGAGTGCGGCACATTGACCTTTCTGCTCAAGCTGCAGGTTTGTGACTTCTGGCTGATAGTTTGGGGTTTATACAACTGATTTAAAACTTTTTCCTTAAAAAAAAAAAAAGTCAGTACGAATTCTTTGGCTTCATGCTTTTTAAATGCAGTGAAAAGCCACATTGCTTGTATAGTATTTCAGCCTTAAACAGGCTGAGCTAGTTTAAGTTATCTCCATTTCCTCCCCTCTGAAATTCGTGGCTGGATTACATTCTCCATTTTTTATTGTTGTTGCTAAAACATCTGTATTTTGAATCCTGTGTGTTAGGACTGGAGGCTGCTGCTGCCTTAATGCCCCGATTTGTAAACACAGATAAGACTGAGAATAACTAAAAGTTATTACTGCTAAATGACCATTTGGTTGCTTTTGAAATGCTTGATTCCTGGAGGATATCTCCCTAATGCTGTTGGGAGTTGGGTGATACAACGTTGGTGACATTTGCTTGCTAGAAAGATTTGCTTGTAGGGCAGTTACACTTCTGCTCATGTTGCTTATTTTGTTCAGAAAATAAAGCCATACCAACAGTATTTTTACATATTTGGACTTAAGCCAAGCAGGTATGACTGCACCAACAGATATTTTCAAGCATGTTCTTGGCTTTGTGCTATTTTCTCCTCTTCTAGGGCACCTGGCTGGTGGGGAGGGAGGGGCTGCAGAGAGCACAGAAAGATTTCCTTGTTCTCGGTTCTGGAGCCTGGCTGCCAGGAACAGCAGTTACCAGGAGTCCAGTGTGCTCAGTGCTGAAAGAATATTTGGGATTACATCTATCTAGTTGTCTTATGAAGACAAGCTGAAGAAGTTGGTGTTGTTCAGCCTGGAGAAAAGACTCCAGGGGGACCTTATAGTGACCTTCCAATACCTGAAAGGGGCCTATAAGAAGGCTGAGGAAGAGCTGTTCCAAAGGGCATGTAATGATGGGACAAGGAGTGGTGGTTTTAAGCTAGAAAAGGGTAGATTTAGGTTGAACATGAGGAAAAAGTTCTTTAACATGAGGGTGGTGGATCACTGGAACAGGTTAGGTTGCCTGGAGAGGTGGTGGAAGCCCCATCCCTGGAGACATTCAAGGTCAGGCTTGATGGGGCTCTGAGCAACCTGGTCTAGTGTGAGATGTCCCTGCTTATTGTAGAGGGGTTGGGCTAGATGACCTTTAGCAGTCCCTTCTAACCCAAGACCTTCTGTGATTGTTTTTTTGTTTGTTTTTTTTTAAACATTGCCTTATCTCGTCTAATTTGAGTTTCTCTAGGAGGATCAGTATTTGGTGTTTCTGGAAGTAAAAGTAACAGTTCCTCTCCTGTGTTTTTCCCCTCTCTAGGTGTTCTGGTGCAATATACGCCGCACATTTATGGCGATTCTGAGCGTGAGGGCAGACTTCTGCCAGGCCCAGCACAGCATCCTGGCTGACAAGTGAGCAGAGTGCAGGGGGTTCCACGTGCCATAGTTCCTTTGCCTTGAAGACTCCAGACACAGCGGACACACTCAAATATATGGGATATCTTCTGCACATTGGAAGCATATTCCTTTTACTGACTCTAGCAAAATTAAGCATCAAGAAAACAAAGTGGAGGGAAAATCTGCCCTTACTTTTTTGCCTCACCAGTGCCTAAATGTAGAACAGGCTGCCTAGTCTTGCATGCAGTCAGAATTTTGGGAGTCTGAAGGAAACCACCTGCAGTCGTTGAGGCCGAAGTTGAATTCAAGTGGATTCTGAAGCAAACCTGCTTTTCTAGAAGCAAATTCTTTGAGGAACAAACACGTCAAAGCAAGCTCTGATCAATCCCAGGCATTTTAGTGGTCTTTTTAATGTTTTCTGCTGTGAAACGTTTCCAAGGTTATTGATTTTTTTGATTTTTTTTTGGCCCCTGACACGATTTGTTTGCCATTATGAACCGTCCAGCCCCCGTGGAAATTAGTTACGACAACATGCGTTTCCTGATCACTCACAACCCAACCAACGCCACCCTTGCCAAGTTCATAGAGGTAAGACAGTCAAATGAAGTATCATCCTTCTTCCTTCATGTGCTCATAGTTTCTGTAGAAGTACTGAACAGTCATTCTTCACACCTGTTGCTCAATGCTCTGGCTGTATGTTACACATCCTTTAAAACTTGAAGGTGGTTTTATCTTTAATAGATTTTTCACGTTCTCTGATGGTACAAGAAGAGAATCCACCAATTAACTTTTTCCAGTCCTGCATTTCTTTAGTTGTAAGAGGCTGAATGAGCTTCCATTTTAAGGCTACAAACACACTCTTTTGCCATCATCATGTCTGGTTTCTTAAGACCTGCATGTTTTGTGATTTTAAATGTTATTTTTCTTTAAATAATGCGGTGCTTCTGGTACATCGACCTATTGCTCATCTTTTGGCTTTTAAAAAAGTAAACAGAATTTTAACTGGTTTCTGACCTTTCTTCTCCCTTAGACTAGCATTAAGTGCAGTACTTAAACTGCTGTTAAACTGACAGGGTGTGCTCTCAAATTGCCCTGCCAATCCCAGACTTGTCAGAGATTTCAAGTGCCAGATTTTATCCATGAAAAATGACATCTGTGGGCATTGGACTGTGGGAAGAGTCAGGTATGCTGGGCAGTGGATCACATCATTCATGACACAATAAGATCTGAAGGGCCTACAGGAGGGATTTTTTACAAGGGCTTGTAGTGAGAGGACAAGGGGGGATGGATTAAAACTGGAAGAGGGGAGATTGAGGCTGGACATGAGGAAGCAATTCCTCAGTGTGAGGGTGATGAGACCCTGGCCCAGGTTGCCCAGGGACGCTGTGGCTGCTCCATCCCTGGCAGTGTTGAAGGGCAGGTTGGATGGGGCTTGGAGCAACCTGGGCTGGTGGGAGGTGCCCCTGCCCTTGTAGGGGGTGGGGCTGGATGATCTTTAAGGTCCCTTCCAACCCAAACCATTCTGTGATTCAATACCACAAAATGTAATACTCAGTTCGGTGATACCATCTGTTGCTTT